AAGACCACTAGGGATGAGATAATGGCTAAAAAGGATATAAAAAGGAAATGCTGAACAAAGGGGTACATGGATACTAACCAGACTGGTTTTTGGGTGGTCCTGCCCACTTCCAAGTAGAACTTTTATTATTCTGTGTCTCTGTGTATTTCTTTCTGAGATTCCAGAACATTTGGTTCCTTGACCAGGAACTAGGATTGAAATAGCCCTTTTGGGTATCAGCCTGAACCCCACCAGAGGGAGCAGCTCTCTGTCTCCTCGAGAGGAAAGGAACACTCCTGGGACTAATTACCTAGGCTGCTCAACAGGACATGGAGACCTGCTACCCACTGTGGATTGCCTGAACCCAAGGCAGAGGATGACAGAAGGAGGGCTGCTGCTGTTGGTGTCTCATCTGTGTCTTTCCTTTGCTGGGTGAGAAACCCCAGGAAACCCCTTAGTTGTTAACTTTTGGTTTTGCTTTGGTTTTACTTTGTGAATTTGTATTTTGTAACTTTGGGCAAATAAAGTACAGGGACCTGATCACCCCTTGTGCTTTGCCATTTGGGAAGATAGCTCCTCCCATTTGTTTTGGTTCACTTTGTGAACTTTGGGCAAAAATAGTGCAGGGGTCTGATGAACCCTTGTGCTTTGCCATTTGGGGAGGTAACTTCTTTCATTTGTTTTGGTTACAGTTAGGGGGTCACTGGGAGGGAATGTGATAACTTCTGAATAAATGTGTGAGTGAAAGAGTTCGGGATAGGAGAGTATGTGGAACGAACTGTGGAACAAGACAGAGGGAGGAGGCGCTTGCACGTAGAGTCCTCCCCAAGTTCCAGAACTTGTATGTGGTTGCATTTAACAAAGGCATAATTGTGAGCTTACGTGACAGCCCATCTTAGCCTGAACAGACCTTAAAGTCCCCAAGAGGCCTGCAGCCAGGGAAGCAAGTGAGTGACCCCCCACTTTTGTTTGTCCTGCATCTCTGTACAAGGGTACCCATACACACACCAACACTCTGATTGGCCAATCATGGCGACATAAACATCTCATCCGACTATTTTGGAATCCATCCTTAAGTATTTTAAGAAAGGTTTTACTGGAAATTATGGTATTAAGATTAAAAACCCCAAAACTTAGAGCCTTTTGTGAGTTAGAATGGCCCGAGCTTTGCCTAGCTTGGCCAACTGAAAGATCCCTAGATGAGGGTCTCATCTGGTCCATCTGGCTAACAGTCAGCACCCCGGGATGGGAACATCCAAATCAATTTCCCTATATTGATTTATGGCTCAGATTGTGCCACAGAATGTCTCCTTGGCTTCATATATGCACCATGCACCCCGGAAGCAAAAAACAAAATCTTGGTCTTCCATCAGAAAAGGGATGATGCTGAAAAGAAACTGGTCCTTTCAGATCTGGGCCAAGAGAATTTAAACTTTCTCCCTCCTTTTGAGTTGCTAAATTCACAGGTGTGGAGGAGTTGGGGACAAAAGCCTGAGAACTGCTTGGCCTTAGAGCACCAGAGGGTGCATGCTGTGGTCAGACTCAGAGAGGATCAAATAGAGCTTACACTCAAATTGGAAAAAAGAAAAAAAAATTGAAAAGAGAAAATCAGTAATGGATCAAAAACAACTAAGAAAGCTCTGAAGGGCATAAAACAAAGCCAGAAGAAGTAAGAAATTTTATGAGAGAGATCAAGTTACAAATTTTAGCTAATTGATAAATGTATCTGTGTTTCAGTTTGAGTTGATGTTTAACTGGTGTGCTTAAAATATTTCTTGTACATTGCAAATTCTTCAATTGTAATTATAGGGTTAACTTGCTCTTTTCTGTACTTTGTTGATAAAAATCTCAAGGTTACTACCGTTCTATTGGCAGCCAACCAAATTTAAAGTGTAACAATCTGAGAACAAAAAAGGGACACTTTAAAATTTTAACAGCTAAAGACAA